CCAGACAGACGGAAGGACGAAGGGACAAACAGACAGACTCACTCACTTACTCAATGCCTTAAAGACGTGTAGCAAAAGTTTGATTTCAGCCAAATACTTCAACTGTTAAAATGTACTTTACTTGTTCAACAACAAAAAAAAAAAAAAAAAAAAAAAGAAAAAAAACACATCCAAAAGAAACGAGAAATGTACTCAGTTTACCTTTTAAACGGATTTACGACACATTGAAGTTCATTTATATGTTTCCGGTGAATGAATGTAAAATTAATTTCGTTAATGTCATCGGAACTTTTTCAGTTACTTTTTTTTTCACTTCCAGCTCTTTTTACTGTTTTATTTCAACCCCCCTAGTTTTGCTTTATGCTTTTTTATATATAAGAGACACATTGACATTCATTTAAAGTTCTTTAATATTGTAATAAAGTTTAAATTAAGGTTTCAATTTTAAAAGGAATGGAAATTTCTTATAAAAGGAAATTGTTATTTAAATTGCATTACAAAGTTACTATTTGGAATTAAATAACAATTTTAGAAATTTAGTCTTCTTGTAGCAAAAGAGCTAATGTTTTCTCCCTTAGTTTCTTATTAAAGTTATTTATCTGCATTATTGATTATTTTATATGAAATTTATGTTTTTAAACATGTTTTTTCATAAATACTTTCAGCAATTTTTTTTTAGCTGTCATGCTCTACATAAAAATCTGTGGAAAATGTCAAATAATTCATAAAGTTTTAAGAAGAACACAAAAACAAGAAAATAAAATAAAATAAAAAAACAACAAGCCAACATGAAAAACCTGACTGCCATACTACTTGACTTCTTGACTGGCACAAAATATGAAAGTTACCGTTAAAACACAGAACAACAACAACAACTACCTAAGCCAGTTGTATATTTTGTTACGTTTTCGGAATATTAAAAAAAAACGAACAGCATGACGCTGAGAAAACTCCCAAAAACATACTTTTAGATAAAAACTAAAAATAAAGAAAATTTTAAACAAAATTTGAAAAAAAGGTGTTGAAAATTAAAATTCTTCAGCATACATATAAATAATGCATAAAAAAGAATGATTTTAAGCCAGAATATTAAGAAAAATATAGCAATAACAACATAAATCAACAACAAATTCTTTACAAAATTTTTTTTTGTTAAAAATTACCTTTATCAGCAACAACTTTATTTCATTAGAAATCAATATGTTATTTTTATAAACTTAACCACCCTTTTCTTACTTAGCCTTATTATGCTGCAGCTTGAAAGGTGTTCATCAAGGCGGAAATGCAGATGATACGAGATTTTAAGATTTTATACAGTTTCCTCTCGTAAAATACTTTGATAACACAAAAAAAGAGAAACATGTTATCAATATAAATCTATATTAATGTAAACTCATAGCGACATAGGTATATACATTTATTAGGGTGGTTCAAGACTATGTTCCTATAGAAAAGTGTCTTGCCCAAAATAGTGCTTTAAAAGAAAAGTGACAGTTTTCTTTTTAGAAAAGAGAGTTTTCTTTTAGAGAAATGTCTTACCTTGTCAAGATTGTTTCCGTTCCAGAAAATAGTGCTTTTAAAGAAAAGTGACAGTTTTCTTTTTAGAAAAGAATATTTTCTTTTAGAGCAGTGTCTTATATTGCCAACACTGTCTTCTTTCTAGAAAATAGTGCTTTTAAAGAAAAGTGACAGTTTTCTTTTTCGACAAGAGAGTTTTCTTTTAGAGAAGTGTCTTAATTCGACAAGACTGTTTCTGTTAAAGAAAATAGTGCTTTTAAAGAAAGGTGACAGTTTTCTTTTTAGAAAAAGGAGTTTTCTTTTAGAGGAGTGTTTTATTTTGCCAACACTGTTTCCTTTCTAGAAAATATTGCTTTTAAGGAAAATTGACAGTTTTCTTTTTAGAAAAGAGTATTTTCTTTTAGAGCAGTGTCTTATATTGCCAACGCTGTCTTCTTTCTAGAAAATAGTGCTTTTAAAGAAAAGTGGTAGTTTTCCTTTTAGAAAAGAGAGTTATCTTTTAGAGAAATGTTTTATCTTGCCAAGACAGTTTCCTTTCTAGAAAATGTACAGTTTTTTATAAAAAAGATTCTCTTCGTGAAGAGACAGTTTATTGTCTTGCCAATATTGTTTTCTTTCTATAAAAGAGAGTTTTCTTGTAAAGAAGTGTCTCATTTTCCCAATACTGTTTCTTTTCAAGAAAATTGCCAAGACAGATTTTTAATGAATAGTGTCTCTTCTTGAGACACTGTACAGTTTGGTACAGAATAGATAGTGTTCTTATAGAAAAGTGTTTTTCTTGTCAAAGCCAATTTTCTCTTTAGAGACGCATCTAGCCAAGATAAAGTTTTTTCATAGAAATATATCTTGTCTTTAGAATAGTTTCTTATCTTGTGCAAGACAGTTTTCATTCTAGAAAAGAGTCTCCCAAGACAGTTTTTATAGAAAAATATCTTGCTGAAGTGAGTTTTCTATCCCAAAAAGTATCTGGTCTTGTCTGGCCAAGACAGTTTTATTACAGAAAAATGTCTTGTTTTTTTGAATTTCACAAAAAAGACAATTTTATTTCAAATATCGATTTTCCTCCAAAATCTCCACTTTTCACTACAAATTCGAGTTATCACTCAAAACACAGGTTTTTCAAAATATAACTCTCACTTCACTGGAGGACGATTTATGCTCTAAAAATTGGACAGATCGCATAAGGATACATCCAAATTGATACCACGCAGCAACTGAATTCTACCGTATTTTGATTCTTTATATACTGTTCACTATGAAACCCACCTACTGCACATTCATACATACATATGTATGTATGTATGAATATTGCCTGTATTAAAACATATTTACTTGATTGTGTATATAAGAATGTATTTTATGCATTTCACTAATGAAGTGTAGTAGTAGAGTATTAGCTTAAAATTCGATTACTTGCATACCAATAAGATTTGGCTTCTACTTATGTATATCAAGTAGCAAAAACTTATTCCATCACATCGTATACATATACATATCTAAATGCATATATATGTAAATGTATGTGAAATTCGTATATAAACTCATTCCAAATACAACTTCTTATGTTAAATGGCTGAGAACAGTGGGACAAGAAAGCAATAAAATGACTTTAGTTTAACTTTTACTGGAAACTAATAATAAACAGTTAGATTAGATTATTTAATTTTTATAGTTTTGTATTAGTTCTGGGCTTCCAATGATTGTCGCTAATTGATCCCACTGTTCATGAATGCAAGTTGTTTTTAGTGCAAAAAAAAAAGTTACAAAAACATATTATATGAATTACATGCCATTACTACAACATATGCACACATACCTAGCAATTCTATATAAACTTTGTATGTAACATGTATTTGCCTGCCAATCTATATGTATTGTTGCATTTTTAAATCCTACTTTTTGCGACATTGTTTTTTCAAGCACTTACATGTCTATACTTGCTTTTGGGGGAGGCTGCATTTGGTTAGTTTCTGGGTTGTGTATGTAAGTCTGTTATTGTAATTTTAAGTTATTTTCTTTTTTCTGTTCTTTTGAAATCTTTGTACATGATACTTGTAACAAAAAGTCTTATACGAGATGATTAAACTAAGAAAAGCAATTTTGTTTCAACTAAATGTTATTGATTGTTTATCATTAAATAGATTTTTCTTTTTTCTCATCCAATCTCTTATATGTATATCAATCTTTTGTTACTGTTTTCAACAAATTTTAGTTTACGTTTTTTTTATTATATTAATTTCGTCAAATGTTGTTTATGTTCGATTTAAAGAAATTATTTGCTACAAAAAAATCCTTTTTACGAAATTTGTTTAGTTGTTGTTGTTGGCAAATAAATTAGTTCTCGGTATAAGTAGATACTTTTTTGCTATTTTTGTTAAACAAAATGCAGGATAAAGAAATGTTTTATTTAGCTTTCTAGTGTAAGCTAGTTTTCTTATAGAAAAGTGTGTGAACCAAGACAGTTTTCTTATAGAAAAATTTTCATGTCTTGCCCCAGAAAACTAAACAAATACTTGAACCTTCTATTTATTAAATTTTTTTAAGAATTTCTTTCTCAACTCAAACTGAAAACAATCCTTTTTTCCAATATTTTTTGCTTTAATTTTCTTAATATTTTACTAAATGTATTATTTGTGTTATTTTTATAAATATTTTAAAATGTTTTTTTTTTCAAACTCATAAATATTTCATGTTATTTTTCATAAAAACACTTGGGGAATCTTGATGTGATTTTTATTGGACACAATTTTAAGCAATAAATGTTTCTTTCTCTTTACACTTCTTTTTCTTCTTACAACCATAATTTGATGTTTTTATTAGAAAAATATTATAAAATATTTTTCTGTTTAAAATAACACAAGAAAATGTAATAAAAATTATTTGTATTATTAAGTTCTACATAATGCAGACAGTTGGTATTAAAATCATAACAAGTCTCTTAGGTTTAAATTTCAATTTTAAAAATTCTATATAAAAATAGCAAAAACAAGACAAATAAATTTAAAATATTTTTTTTTATAAAAAAAGGAAATATTTGTTGAATATAAATTAAAATAACAAATAAAATATAACACTCTATTAAAATAAAATGTTTTAGTTTGTAAATATAAAAAAAAAATGTTTTAGTAAGAAAATATATTTAATTGCTCTCCTTGGGAATAAAAACTTTATTAAGAATATAAGGATTTTACTTTAAACGAGTTACTTTTAGTTTTTTATATAAAGGAAATTTAATTTTATTAAATAATTCAGGAAATTTTTTTAGTAAAGTTTCTAAAAAGCTTTGAATAAATTATTGTTTAATAAATAATATTAATCATACGTAGTGAGTTCATAGTTTTCATAATTTTTCATAGTTTTTCATAACTTGCAGAACTACAAATATATATTTTTTTAGTACTTTTTAACAACTCTGTTATTTACTTCACTACGTCTGTTGGGTTATCAAACAACTGTTGATTTTTATAACGAATTGTGTACTACACAAGTTAACATCATTATATCAAGAATAAATGTCAAAAAATAAAAATTTTGTCAAACAAAATTTTTAAAAATTAGGAAATAAGGAAATTTAAATAATTACCAAGATTATGGACGATTCCTTCTTTAAGTATAAAAATCAATATAACATCTTTCAAAATAACATTTGAATTAAAAATTTCCAGTAAAAAAGATGCGGCCACAGAAACTGCAGAATTTCAAATGGTTACCTCTTCCTCCTCATCATCGACATCATCAACGGAAGTGGAAAATCCCTCAAAAAGTTCTTCAACTTTGGCTTACAACTCATCTTCTTCGACATTAACAGAAATGGATAAAAAACGAAAGAAATCAAATTTTAAACAAACAACTAAAACTGTTTTAGATGCTGCAAAACACAGTCCTGTTAATACGGAATATCCTTCAAAAGCTGATTATGTGTCCAGTAGTAGTTCTAGTTCTGCAAGAAGTTTGAAAAATTCGCCTTTTCCAATTACAAAACATAAAGAAACTTTAACTTCCATCGACAAACTTGCTAGAGATTCTAGCTATTACAGCGTTACTAGCTTTTCAACTTTAACTGAATTTAAGGCAACAACAACCAAGAGGGAAAACAATAGAATTCAAACAAGTTTAGCTCTAGACTCTTCTACCACCTCATCCTTAACTTCCACAGTAACTCTTACACCAAAAACATCAGCTAAGGAGGACGAAATAACGGAAAGCATAACAAAAGAGTAAGTTAATGTATTCATCTCATATATTCCACGTTCTAGAAGAATTTTGCTTTTTAGATCATTAGAAAGGGATTTAATTTTGGATGCAAAACAAACAAAAGAAACTGTGTCAGAACAGCCAGTTAAAAGAACTTTATTTGTGGAAGATTCTGAATCCTCAGCTTCGTTAAAGGTTGATACTTTAGGAGAGCATAGAGAAACACCTCCGAGATTTGTTGAAAAAGATACCGGTACGTATTCAAACTCCTTTATGTAAAAGATAGAATTTTAATTATTTTTATGAATCCCTAGAACCGGAACACTTTTTAAAATCCAGCAAATCGAGGCATGTTAGAAAAGTAACAAGTTCACAAGAAGATTCTTCGGCAAAGGTTGATACTTTAGGAGAGCATAAAGAAACACCTTTGAGATTTGTGGAAAAAGATAAGGGTACGTATTCAAACTCATTTATGTAAAAGTAAAAATTTTAAATATTTTTTTTGAATCCGTAGAGCCTGAACCCTTTTTAAAATCCAGCAAATCGAGGCATGTTAAAAAAGTAACAAGTTCAGAAGAAAGCGAAAAAGAGAGTCCAGGTACTAAGCTTTCAAGAATAATAAATCTTTGGACGGACGGACCGCACTAAACCAAACTGACTATTAACTATTCCAAAGTTTATCAAAATTACAAAAAAGAAACATACGTCTTCTTTTCAGCCTTTCTCAAATCCAGCAAATCTCAACATGTTAAAGGCGCTCCCACATATGACGACGACGATGATGACTCGAGAGAAAGTACTAATTTGCAAATAGGACATGTTTTCGTAAGTTAAGAAAATTGCAATTTAAATAGAATATTAAAAGAAATTGTTTATAGGTTTACATGGTTATACCGCCAGATGGTGGTTATGGTTGGCTTATAACTTTTATATCATTTTTATGTCAAGTAATAGTTGATGGCATTATTTTCTCTATTGGAATTGTATTACCACATATTGCCAAAGATTTGAATATACCCGGTGCTAATGTGGTTTTGGTGGCTTCCATGCAAATTGGTAAGATTGATTTGTCTTAACAAAAAAGTTTTATGAAAAAAAAGAGGTTTCATTCACCCAGTTTTCCACATAAAAAGTTTCTTGTTTTGGCAGATTGCGCCTTTCCACGATAATTTTCTAACGCAAAAGTAATTCCCATTCAAATTAAATTTCTAAATTTTTGCACTTAGGCGTATGAGTATTATACTTCATATTAAATATCAAGCATACGTACTGTTGAATGATTTCATGAATATTAATTTATTTACATGCATTTATTTTTTTAAAGGCTTCTACTTTTTGTCCGGCACTGTTTCAAGTGCTTTTATTAACAAATTTGGGTTCCGCCCGGTAGCCTTGACTGGTTGTCTAATGTCCATAACGGTCCTAACCATAGCCACCTTTAGTGTCAACCTACCCATGATGATATTATTCTACAGTATTTTGGGTAAGTTAATTGATAACAATAAAGACATAAACTAATTTCAAATGCTTTTAACTTAAAGGTGGCCCTAGTCTTAGCATGATTTGGGTTTCTTCTCAGCTTATTATTGGTTACTATTTCGATAAATATCGTCCCATAGCAAATGGTGCCTCCTGTTCAGGGGCTGGTGCTGGTATTATGATATTTTGTTATATGAATAGTGTTTTGATACCAGAATTGGGTTGGCGTAATTTAATGAGAGTACATGTGGGATTTTTGATAGTAGTTTTACTTATGGTGTTGACCTTCATTGAAGTGGCTCCCACCAGAATAGGCAAAGTAAAAGAGGTATTATAATCGACAATTTATAAAAAGTATAACAAAATAATGGAAATTTTAGCCTTTAGCTGAAGACACTGAATCCGAATCATTTGACCTGCTTACAGGACTTACACAATATTCTAGATATTCCATAAAAGTTGATGAACAAGAATATTCTTTGGATGAAAATTTTGAAAATATGTTGGGTAAATAAAAATATATGTTTTTTAAAATTAAAATATACTAATTAATGTCTCTTATCCAGAAAAAACTGAGGAACCCAAAGACAAAAAATCTCCTGGTTGCTGTCATTATTGCCTGCAGAAATGTTGCCCCTCTCTGCAACATTGGTGGGAGAGGCGTCGCGAGGAAAAAGCCAAAGAGGAGGCCACCAAACGTTATGTGATTAAACAAGATCTTATCGAAAGACAAGATCTCTTCTATATGGGTCCCACGGACCACAAAAAGGAACAACAAAAAGTAGAAGAAATATTGCAAAAACGTTTATCTAAACGTGCCAGTATTGGTGGTGATCAAGGAGATGATAGATTTACTATAACTCTAGAGGATTTTGATAATAAACATAAAAGACTAACTGTGATTAGTACTATGAATACCAAGCAACAGAAAATGAAGGAATATCGGTCCTATAAGGAATTGAAGGAAAAAGAAAAATATCCCTTATGGACATTTTTGTCTCCCAAGAACTTGATTCATCCAAAGATACGTAAGGCATTTAGTTTGCTTTTCGATTTTCGTTTATTGGCGATTATGGAATTTCGAGTATTATTGCTGTCGGCATTTCTGTTTCCCATGGGTTTTAATATACCGTTTGTATATTCAACAGGTAAGTGGGCCATTGGACTATAATAATAAAGCTCAAATTTGAATAATTTTCAACTTTTAAACAATTTGGTTTTTTGTTATAGTTTTGTTCTTTAAAAATCTTATTTGAACAAATTAGTTTAGAGTTAATTAACTTGAGTTGTCGAAATTTAAAATTCTTTAAAGATTTAAAAATGTTTGTTAATTTAAAACTCTTAAAGACTTGTCTTCAACATACCAATAAACATTGTATTACAACTTACCTTAATGCCATTCCTTTCTTACAAAGAGATACTTTGTGCTTAAACAAGTGGCTATTAAATCCTGCACCAACTATGTAACTGCATTCATCTCTACCTTAAGCAGTGCACCAGAATTGTGTATTTTTTTCAGTTTTCTTCACCAACAACATTTTTGTAATGGTTCTGTGTCTGTTTTAATTTGTCTTTCATTTTGTGTGTTCTCATTTTTTTTTTTCATCTTCTTATTTTTGGTTAGTGCGTGTACAAATTGATGCATCTTTTGCCAAGCTAATTTCACCCACCATTGGTTTTTCAAATTTTGCTTTTCGTATTGCATCTGGTTTTGTTGCATTCAAATTTCGTGAATATACAACTTACATTTGTGGTGGTGGCATGGTTTTTGGTGGCGTTGCTGTTCTCATAAGTGCCTTCTATGGCCTCGATGTGGTTTGGTTTCAATTTCTGTATGCCATGTGCTATGGCATAGCTCCAGGTAAGTTTTACTGCATCCATTACAAAACAAACACATGAAATTTACACAACACAACTCCTTGCTTGTGGTAAAAATTTTTACGAAAATACTCATTCCAAGTGTTCATCAAGCAGGTTTTTATAAATACCTACAATCGTATACATCATTGGTATACACACATACAAACATACAAATATACAATCTCTTTCCACCATCATTACCATCACAATCATCGTCAACAACAACCTGCATTTTAAATTTTCTCTCATTTACATACACTCGCTCTCATACAAATGTAAACCGTTATACTCATTGAATAAATGACCACAGGCAAACAGTATTAATTATGCTGCTTCATAATGGCTTGCATATCTGTATACACATACATATTTCAGTAATTTTGTATGTGTGAGCATATGTTTATGTATGTTTATGAGACTAAGTAAACGTATGCAATTTTAATTATATTCCATTTTATGTTTATTTATGTATATTTTTTTCTCCGTTTGTAACATTTTCCTTCTGCTGCTATCACTGTAAAATTGTTATTTTTTCATTTTCAACATTTTTTTTATTAGCTGCTTCTTTCTTTTCTACTTAATTTTTCAGCCTTCTATTCTACTTTGCGTGCCATTATCTATGTACGTTCATTGGGTCTGGATAAACTAACAAACGCCTTCGGTTTAACGGCTTTGGCCATGGGTATGGGTGTCTTTATTGGTACAACAGCTGGTGGCATCTTAAATGATTTCACCGGCAGTTACACTGCCTCATTTGTGTTTGCTGGAATTTGTATTTGTTTATCGGGTGCCTTGAAATTGATATTGCCCTATTTAATTAAACTCTCAAAAGATAAAGAAAGAAAGTGAAAAGAGAATAAAATAAAAACAAATGAAATTAAAACGAATAAAAATGAGGTAATAAAATGAAATAAAAAATAAAGCAAAACATTGAACAAATTAACAAACTTATTAAAGAATGTGTACTAAAATGCATTTCAATAAATTAAGTTGTAATTTTTTAAATAAAATTTATTTATAATTATTTAATAGACTTTTATTTAGTATTATATTTATTTTAGAAGTTGTATTAAAGAACAGACTTGTTCAGTTCTAGTTTTGTTCTAGTTCAGTTCTAGTTCGGTTCTAGATCAGTTCTAGTTCAGTTCTAGTTCAGTTCTAGTTCAGTTCTAGTTCAGTTCTAGTTCAGTTCTAGTTCAGTTCTAGTTCTTGTTCAGTTCTAGTTCAGTTCTAGTTCAGTTCTAGTTCAGTTCTAGTTCAGTTCTAGTTCAGTTCTAGTTCAGTTCTAGTTCTAGTTCAGTTCTAGTTCAGTTCTAGTTCAGTTCTAGTTCAGTTCTAGTTCAGTTCTAGTTCAGTTCTAGTTCAGTTCTAGTTCAGTTCTAGTTCAGTTCTAGTTCAGTTCTAGTTCAGTTCTAGTTCAGTTCTAGTTCAGTTCTAGTTCAGTTCTAGTTCAGTTCTAGTCAGTTCTAGTTCAGTTCTAGTTCAGTTCTAGTTCAGTTCTAGTTCGTTCTAGTTCAGTTCTAGTTCAGTTGTTCTAGTTCAGTTCTAGTTCAGTTCTAGTTCAGTTCTAGTTCAGTTCTAGTTCAGTTCTAGTTCAGTTCTAGTTCAGTTCTAGTTCAGTTCTAGTTCAGTTCTAGTTCAGTTCTAGTTCAGTTCTAGTTCAGTTCTAGTTCAGTTCTAGTTCAGTTCTAGTTCAGTTCTAGTTCAGTTCTAGTTCAGTTCTAGTTCAGTTCTAGTTCAGTTCTAGTTCAGTTCTAGTTCAGTTCTAGTTCAGTTCTAGTTCAGTTCTAGTTCAGTTCTAGTTCAGTTCTAGTTCAGTTCTAGTTCAGTTCTAGTTCAGTTCTAGTTCAGTTCTAGTTCAGTTCTAGTTCAGTTCTAGTTCAGTTCTAGTTCAGTTCTAGTTCAGTTCTAGTTCAGTTCTAGTTCAGTTCTAGTTCAGTTCTAGTTCAGTTCTAGTTCAGTTCTAGTTCAGTTCTAGTTCAGTTCTAGTTCAGTTCTAGTTCAGTTCTAGTTCACTAAAAATTATCATAAATATTATCTTACCCGTTTTTTCCTTGAATTTTACGAAACTTGTTTTTGTCATTTTTGGTATTTTTATTCTAATTTTTATTTTTATTATTATTTTATACAAAACATTATTGATATAATTACATAAATTATAAGATTTTTGTTGTTTGTTTTTAACTTACATTCTGATTTTTATATTTTTTTCATATATATTTATTTATTTAATTCCAAAGTTCTTTTATTTTGTTAATATTACGCAATAAATTAACTTTTTCAGAATAAAGACCCATTATATATATTCATTTATAAATAAATTTATATAATTGCTTATGTAATTAAAGATAAAAGACTATGTTTTGCTGTAGAGTATGTAGATTGAAAGACCGATTTATTATTGCTATTTTAATAATTTTTTACTCAAAGAAAATTAAAAGAATGTTTACAAAATAATAATATGTATTTATGGGTTAAAATGTTTATTTTTATGTTAAGAACTCTTTAGAGACCTTTAGGGACATTTGTTTTATAAATTCCTGCAAGGCTTTTTTATATTCTAACATCTATGTCAAATGTTTATGTATTTTGTTTGCTCATGTGTTAACCGGTGATGTTTTATTTATTTTGTTTTTGTTAAATGGTTGTTTATAATTTATCAACTGATTGCATTTCAATATTTTCAATTAATTAGTTTTATTCAGCATAGAGTTTAGTTTTGATCTTGATTTTATTTATTTTTTATTTATTTATTATTTATGTATATTTCTTTTGGTTTATGTAAAGTTACAATATCTACATTTGTATTTTAATGTAGTTGTTTTTGGTTTATATTATTTATATAGTTTGAGGGGTCTTGGGATTTGGGGAGGTTTTTAGCTTATAGTGCTTTTATCCAAGGCTTAAATTACTTAAGTTCTATGTATAATAATCTTTGGATTTAATTTTTTTTAATATATGTATAAAATAATAACTTTTTATATGTTTTTTTTTATTTATTCACTTAAAATACGTTTTACCTTGTTTGATTTTTGTAAGATTTTCGAAATGAAGATTATGTAATAAGAAAATATAAAAATTTTAAGTTCCTTAAGAAAACTTAAAACAACAATATTGTATAATTTTTTAGGATTTTCAAATTTTTATAAAAATGTTCACTCTGATTATATTATGGAATGAACTCTCTCTTTGTTTAGATCCTGTCAATAGAATTTTTACGTCAGCGTCAAAAGACGACCAAAAAAAAGAACAAAAATTAGAATTGTGTTTAAAACAGAAATAAGCAAAAAGCTCTCTCTTTCCCACGTACGTAAACTGACACATGCATAAAATGCATATAATCTAGTCAGAGAGCTTCCTTGCCTCTCTCTTTGCTAAATCCTGATTTAAATTGAAATGTTGTCCACATCCTGCAGTTGTAATTGCTGCTCATTGCTTTACAGTTCTTAAAATAAAATTTTAATTTAAAAGAATTGAAAAAAAATATATTTTGTTTTATATTTTTTTTTTATTAATTTTATTGGTTTCTTTTTATAATTCTAAATAAATAGTTTTGTAATATAATTATTTTCTGCACTTAATTAAATATACAATTTCTTATCGTTATTTTTTTCAATTTTTTTATAGATATTTTTTTTATTTTTATGAAAATATTTGATTTAATTTATCTCTCTTAACTGTAGCTTAGTTTTTTTACACTTAGTTTTAAATTATTTATTATTTTTATCATTTATAAATATTTTTACTTTTTAATTTTTTTTTTTTTTTTGAGGGGTTTGCATAAACAGTTTCTCTCTAAAAACTGCTTCATTAACACATTTTTTTTATTTTTTTTGTTTCATCATCTGCTTTAAAATCAATTCGGTTGTTAGGTTTTTTAGCCAATTTTAGTTTTTGTTTAAATTTCATCCAATTTTGTTTGTTGTTTTAATATAAAGTTTGTTTAAATATTGTCCACAGTGTCTGTTTTTTAAATATATTTTCATGTTTTTGTTGGAGTGTGTAATGGTAAAACAAAAAAAAATAAACTTGAAATTAAAAGAAAATAAATCAATAAATTGTTTACAAAAAAAATTTATTGCACAAAACTTATGAATTGCAATTTTTGTTGTTGTTTGTTAAATAAAATTAAATTTAAATTGTATTTTTTTTTTTTTATTTACTGTTCACAAAACTTAGTGTGTTTTTTCTGTTCTATAAATATTTTTCTTTTTTTATTGATTTTATTCTTTTTTCTTCCATTTTATTTATATGCAGTAAAGTTGATGGTTTGTATTTTTTTAATTATTTTAAAGGTTTTTTTTTATTTAAATTAATACATTTTTTGTCAGAATTATTATGGTTTGATAAATTTTTTATTTTATTAAGGTTAAAAAATAATACGCCTTTTTTAGAGGTTTTTATGGTTGATTTTATATATTCATGTATTAGACCTAAAAAAATGTATAACAAATGCAAAAAATTTATTTAATATAAAAACTAAATTAAAATTGATTGATTTATAAAAAAAATTTGGAAAAAATGTAAATATGTACTTTGTTTACATGTATTTGAATTTTTTAATTAAAAAACAAGTAGTCAATATACAAATCAATAAAAAATTGAATGGTATTTGTTGGTGATACGATGCAACAATAGTTTTTAATATTTAATTTATTATTAACTTAAAAAATTACATAAAATCAGATGAATAGTCTTGTCTAAAGCATAGTCTATAGTCTAGTCACAGTCTAGTCTATAGTCCTAGTCTATAGTCTAGTCTATAGGCTAGTCTAGTTCTAGTCTATAGTCTAGTCTATAGTCTAGTCCATAGTCTAGTCTATAGTCTAGTCTAAGTCTAGTCCATAGTCTAGTCTATAGTCTAGTCTATAGGCTAGTCTATAGTCTAGTCTATAGTCTAGTCTATAGTCTAGTCTATAGTCTAGTCTATAGTCTAGTCCATAGTCTAGTCTATAGTCCTAGTCTATAGTCTAGTCTATAGTCTAGTCTATAGTCTAGTCTATAGTCTAGTCTATAGTCTAGTCTAGTCTAGTCTAGTCTATAGTCTAGCTCTATAGTCTTAGTCTAGTCTATAGTCTAGTCTATAGTCTAGTCTATAGTCTAGTCTATAGTCTAGTCTATAGTCTAGTCTAGTCTATAGTCTAGTCTATAGTCTAGTCTATAGTCTAGTCACAGTCTAGTCTATAGTCTAGTCTATAGTCTAGTCTATAGTCTAGTCTATAGTCTAGTCTATAGTCTAGTCTATAGTCTAGTCTATAGTCTAGTCTATAGTCTAGTCTATAGTCTAGTCTATAGTCTAGTCTATAGTCTAGTCTATAGTCTAGTCTATAGTCTAGTCTATAGTCTAGTCTATAGTCTAGTCTATAGTCTAGTCTATAGTCTAGTCTATAGTCTAGTCTATAGTCTAGTCTATAGTCTAGTCTATAGTCTAGTCTATAGTCTAGTCTATAGTCTAGTCTATAGTCTAGTCTATAGTCTAGTCTATAGTCTAGTCTATAGTCTAGTCTATAGTCTAGTCTATAGTCAGTCCATAGTCTAGTCTATAGTCTAGTCTATAGTCTAGTCTATAGTCTAGTCTATAGTCTAGTCTATAGTCTAGTCTATAGTCCTATCTAGTCTATAGTCTAGTCTATAGTCTAGTCCTATAGTCTAGTCTATAGTCTAGTCTATAGTCTAGTCTATAGTCTAGTCTATAGTCCTAGTCTATAGTCTAGTCTATAGTCTAGTCTATAGTCTAGTCTATAGTCTAGTCTATAGTCTAGTCTATAGTCTAGTCTATAGTCTAGTCTATAGTCTAGTCTATAGTCTAGTCTATAGTCTAGTCTATAGTCTAGTCTATAGTCTAGTCTATAGTCTAGTCTATAGTCTAGTCTATAGTCTAGTCTATAGTCTAGTCTATAGTCTAGTCTATAGTCTAGTCTATAGTCTAGTCTATAGTCTAGTCTATAGTCTAGTCTATAGTCTAGTCTATAGTCTAGTCTATAGTCTAGTCTATAGTCTAGTCTATAGTCTAGTCTATAGTCTAGTCTATAGTCTAGTCTATAAGTCTAGTCTATTAGTCTAGTCTATTAGTCTAGTCTATCTAGTCTATAGTCTAGTCTATAGTCTAGTCTATAGTCTAGTCTATAGTCTAGTCTAGTCTAGTCTATAGTCTAGTCTATAGTCTAGTCTATAGTCTAGTCTATAGTCTAGTCTATAGTCTAGTCTATAGTCTAGTCTATAGTCTAGTCTATAGTCTAGTCTATAGTCTAGTCTATAGTCTAGTCTATAGTCTAGTCTATAGTCTAGTCTATAGTCTAGTCTATAGTCTAGTCTATAGTCTAGTCTATAGTCTAGTCTATAGTCTAGTCTATAGTCTAGTCCATAGTCTAGTCTATAGTCTAGTCTATAGTCTAGTCTATAGTCTAGTCTATAGTCTAGTCTATAGTCTAGTCTATAGTCTAGTCTATAGTCTAGTCTATAGTCTAGTCTATAGTCTAGTCTATAGTCTAGTCTATAGTCTAATCTATAGTCTAGCCTATAGTCTAGTCTATAGTTTAGTCTATAGTCTAGTGTGTGGTCTACTGTATAGTCTCGTCTATAGTCTAGTCTATATTATTCTTAAATAATATCTATACTCTACTTTTCATAAATCTTTCTACTCACCAATTAAAATAGGTCTCTGGTTTATGGCAACCCTTTTCGGAACCACACCATTTTGATTCTTTTAAAGGCGGACATGGACGGCCACCACGTTTACCATGCTTAATGACTTTACGATATCGATGCATTTCACCAATGCCACATGATTTACTGCAGTCCGACCACTCGGACCAATGACTGACCCGACAATCGCGAGGACGTTTCGTGCGACGCCGACGATTTGTTGCGGCCTGTAGCGATGACGTTGTTTGTGATGATAATTCATTACGTCTATAACTATCGGCTATATTTTGCATAATAGCCTGTTTATCATTTTTGGGTATGACACCAGTATTTACCGCCGAAGAATTCACCCTTAAAAATAATAATGTAAAACATAAAATTTATGGTAAAATGAAAAATTTTAATTATATTTTCAAAGTTTCATATCAAAAGTGTCCTTGTCCCTATTTCTACGTAGCTGTATTATTTACATTTGCTGGTGTATTTGTGTAAGTTTGCTTGAACATCAAAAATAATTTCCAATTTTTCAATTTGCATTTTTTCCATTTTCTTTCTATGTTGTTTTTCTAATTTATTTTCTTTTTTTTGCACTTGTTTGTATTGCATTCACTGCTGCATGCATATTCATGCTAATTTCCATTTGACATGTATGCTCTTGTTTAAACTTGCATATCTTTGTCTGTCCGCTGTGAGTGCATTTAGTAGTACATATGTATGAATGTGAGTGTGTGCCAGTGGGTGTATGTTTGTATGTCTACATGTCAATGTTCGTTTTAATTCTCTTTCTCTATTTGCAACAGCATGTTTTTTTTACCAATGCAAGTTTTTTCATTGAACATGTTCTCATTTTTGTTTCAAATACCAGACTGGAGATGGACAATATAGTGTCGATAGTACTTTTTTGATATATATTATATAGAAAAACTGTTCTGCACATATTTGTCACCTTGGAATTTAGTAAATTTTCTTAAACATTTTAAACTGGTACTAAGCAAATAATTTTTAGGGCCAAAAATGGTACTAACTTTTGGATTTGTTGCAGCTTTTTATACACTTTTTATAACCATATTCATATAAACTCCAATTTATTATACAAAAAAAGCCAATGACTACAATTGCATGTCGGTTTTATATTGATGCCTCAAGTTATAACTTCTAAATTATATTTCTCTATGGCAAATATTGCCATTATATTCAAACATATGCATTTTTTCGTATACATAAATTTGTTTCAGTTTAAAATTAAAAAAAGTACAAAGTTTTTTTCCGAAAATTTTAGTATAACTGGAGAAAGTTCAATATTTTTAATCAAATGACATCTAAAATCGATATTGGGCGATGAATTCATACTTTAGGAAATTGATTTTTCTAATTTCGAGTTAAAGAATAGAAGGAACACAATAGCTTTTTTAAGAGAGTTATATTTTCGGGTTTTAAATTGATTTTCTAATTAAATAAAAATATCTTTCTTTCCTTCTTAAATTGAATTTTATTTAACTAAGTAATACCACAAATAAATATATACACAATACATTACACTAACAACATAATTACAACTACAACTAAATTTATATAAAATAAAACCAAATTTTTTACAATATTGTGCAACAACCGCCACTAGTATATACGACCGCTTGAGGACGTGGAGGTTGATTAACAACCACAGATGCTTGGGCTGGCTGCGAGCCTACAACTACCGTTGATGGTGGTGGGGGTTGTGCACCGCCTACTACTACCGTTGTTGAAGGTGGTGGTGCCATAGAAGCACCTATTATTAAAGGTGGAGGAGCCATACCTCCTACCACCACTACTCCACCTACCGGCGGTGGTGGTCTGGCGCCCACGTTAATATTCACTCCAACCGAAGGACCAGGTCTTGGTGGTGGAGGACCCCATCCGGGTGGTCCTCTGCCATAGGGAGGTGGTGGACCACCAAAACCCACACGGCCTGGAGGAGGCATAATTGTTTTAAAGGAACTTGTTTTTAATTAAAGATTTTCCCTTAAAAGAGAAAACCTACTTTTAACGTTGACTTCTACCGACAAACTAAATTTGTTTGCTTTTGTCAATTGATCACATAAATTTGGGTATTTTTTTCATTAAATATTTAAATAGATAAGAAAACTTACAAATCAATCAGTAAGTAATTATGTGTGAATAAAAATGATAAAAATTGTAAATATTTTTATATCATACAGATATTTTTTGTTTAATATCTTATCATTTAAACCGTGACTTAGCTTAGACAAGGTGCTTCCCTGCCGCTGTTTTGATTTTTATTGTTATCAGTTACAATAGTGTGTGTGTAAGGCAATGGTCAGCAACCATTACTATCAATACAACTCCAATGAGAATGGAATTTATAAAGAAAATGCGAAATTTTTTCTGTCTATCCAATATTTGTGCATTATGTTCTCTTTGTGTCAGCATGACTTCCATAATTTATTATCTTTATATTTTGTGAGTACTTACATGGGATTCATTTTCTCCAACAATTTCGAACGTATACGATCTTTTTCGGTAACTCTAGTTGGTGGTGGTGTTATTTCATTTTGTCTCTCACGCTCTATACTAGCCGACAATTCATTATTCATTTCCACATGATTGTGTTCCATCTCTAAATGGGTTTGTGTCTGTACTGTCTCATATTTACGATCATCCTCGGCAAAGTTAAAAACTTCACTCAATTCGTACTCTTTGAGCTGAAATGAAAAACAAACACAAACATACATATCTTATTTAAACTTGCTAACAAACTAACTCAAAAACTAGTTCTAGTTCAGTTCTAGTTTAATTCTAGTTTAGTTCTAGTTTAGTTCTAGTTTAGTTCCAGTTTAGTTCTAGTTTAGTTCTAATTCAGCTCTAGTTCAGTTCTAGTTCAGTTCTAGTCCAGTTCTAGTTCAGTTCTAGTTCAGTTCTAGTTCAGTTCTAGTTCAGTTCTAGTTCAGTTCTAGTTCAGTTCTAGTTCAGTTCTAGTTCAGTTCTAGTTCAGTTCTAGTTCAGTTCTAGTTCAGTTCTAGTTCAGTTCTAGTTCAGTTCTAGTTCAGTTCTAGTTCAGTTCTAGTTCAGTTCTAGTTCAGTTCTAGTTCAGTTCTAGTTCAGTTCTAGTTCAGTTCTAGTTCAGTTCTAGTTCAGTTCTAGTTCAGTTCTAGTTCAGTTCTAGTTCAGTTCTAGTTCAGTTCTAGTTCAGTTCTAGTTCAGTTCTAGTTCAGTTCTAGTTCAGTTCTAGTTCAGTTCTAGTTCAGTTCTAGTTCAGTTCTAGTTCAGTTCTAGTTCAGTTCTAGTTCAGTTCTAGTTCAGTTCTAGTTCAGTTCTAGTTCAGTTCAGTTCTAGTTCAGTTCAGTTCTAGTTCAGTTCTAGTTCAGTTCTAGTTCAGTTCTAGTTCAGTTCTAGTTCAGTTCTAGTTCAGTTCTAGTTCAGTTCTAGTTCAGTTCTAGTTCAGTTCTAGTTCAGTTCTAGTTCAGTTCTAGTTCAGTTCTAGTTCAGTTCTAGTTCAGTTCTAGTTCAGTTCTAGTTCAGTTCTAGTTCAGTTCTAGTTCAGTTCTAGTTCAGTTCTAGTTCAGTTCTAGTTCAGTTCTAGTTCAGTTCTAGTTCAGTTCTAGTTCAGTTCTAGTTCAGTTCTAGTTCATTCTAGTTCAGTTCGTTCAGTTTCTAGTTCAGTTCTAGTTCAGTTCTAGTTCAGTTCTAGTTCAGTTCTAGTTCAGTTCTAGTTCAGTTCTAGTTCAGTTCTAGTTCAGTTCTAGTTCAGTTCTAGTTCAGTTCTAGTTCAGTTCTAGTTCAGTTCTAGTTCAGTTCTAGTTCAGTTCTAGTTCAGTTCTAGTTCAGTTCTAGTTCAGTTCTAGTTCAGTTCTAGTTCAGTTCTAGTTCAGTTCTAGTTCAGTTCTAGTTCAGTTCTAGTTCAGTTCTAGTTCAGTTTCTAGTTCAGTTCTAGTTCAGTTTTCTAGTTCAGTTCTAGTTCAGTTCTAGTTCAGTTCTAGTTCAGTTCTAGTTCAGTTCTAGTTCAGTTCTAGTTCAGTTCTAGTTCAGTTCTAGTTCAGTTCTAGTTCAGTTCTAGTTCAGTTCTAGTTCAGTTCTAGTTCAGTTTTTTTCAGTTCTAGTTCAGTTCTAGTTCAGTTCTAGTTCAGTTTAGTTCAGTTCCAGTTCTATTTCAGTTCTAGTTCTATTTCAGTTCTAGTTCTATTTCAGTTCTAGTTCTAGTTCAGTTCTAGTTCAGTTCTAGTTCAGTTCTAGTTCAGTTCTAGTTCAGTTCTAGTTCAGTTCTAGTTCAGTTCTAGTTCAGTTTCTAGTTCAGTTCTAGTTCAGTTCTAGTTCAGTTCTAGTTCAGTTCTAGTTCAGTTCTAGTTCAGTTCTAGTTCAGTTCTAGTTCAGTTCTAGTTCAGTTCTAGTTCAGTTCTAGTTCAGTTCTAGTTCAGTTCTAGTTCAGTTCTAGTTCAGTTCTAGTTCAGTTCTAGTTCAGTTCTAGTTCAGTTCTAGTTCAGTTCTAGTTCAGTTCTAGTTCAGTTCTAGTTCAGTTCTAGTTCAGTTCTAGTTCAGTTCTAGTTCAGTTCTAGTTCAGTTCTAGTTCAGTTCTAGTTCAGTTCTAGTTCAGTTCTAGTTCAGTTTCTAGTTCAGTTCTAGTTCAGTTCTAGTTCAGTTCTAGTTCAGTTCTAGTTCAGTTTAGTTCATTCTAGTTCAGTTCTAGTTCAGTTCTAGTTCAGTTCTAGTTCAGTTCTAGTTCAGTTCTAGTTCAGTTCTAGTTCATTCTAGTTCAGTTCTAGTTCAGTTCTAGTTCAGTTCTAGTTCAGTTCTAGTTCAGTTCTTCTAGTTCAGTTCTAGTTCAGTTCTAGTTCAGTTCTAGTTCAGTTCTAGTTCAGTTCTAGTTCAGTTCTAGTTCAGTTCTAGTTCAGTTCTAGTTCAGTTCTAGTTCAGTTCTAGTTCAGTTCTAGTTCTTCTAGTTCAGTTCTAGTTCAGTTCTAGTTCAGTTCTAGTTCAGTTCAGTTCAGTTCAGTTTCAGTTCAGTTCTAGTTCAGTTCTAGTTCAGTTCTAGTTCAGTTCTAGTTCAGTTCTAGTTCAGTTCTAGTTCAGTTCTAGTTCAGTTCTAGTTCAGTTCTAGTTCAGTTCTAGTTCAGTTCTAGTTCAGTTCTAGTTCAGTTCTAGTTCAGTTCTAGTTCAGTTCTAGTTCAGTTCTAGTTCAGTTCTAGTTCAGTTCTAGTTCAGTTCTAGTTCAGTTCTAGTTCAGTTCTAGTTCAGTTCTAGTTCAGTTCTAGTTCAGTTCTAGTTCAGTTCTAGTTCAGTTCTAGTTCAGTTCTAGTTCAGTTCTAGTTCAGTTCTAGTTCAGTTCTAGTTCAGTTCTAGTTCAGTTCTAGTTCAGTTCTAGTTCAGTTAGTTTTGTTCGTTGTTCTAGTTTTGTTTCTTTTTTTTTTTGTTCTAGTTCATCTAGTTCAGTTCTAGTTCAGTTCTAGTTCAGTTCTAGTTCGTTCTAGTTCAGTTCTAGTTCAGTTCTAGTTCAGTTCTAGTTCAGTTCTAGTTCAGTTCTAGTTCAGTTCTAGTTCAGTTCTAGTTCAGTTCTAGTTCAGTTCTAGTTCAGTTCTAGTTCAGTTCTAGTTCAGTTCTAGTTCAGTTCTAGTTCAGTTCTAGTTCAGTTCTAGTTCAGTTCTAGTTCAGTTCTAGTTCAGTTCTAGTTCAGTTCTAGTTCAGTTCTAGTTCAGTTCTAGTTCAGTTCTAGTTCAGTTCTAGTTCAGTTCTAGTTCAGTTCTAGTTCAGTTCTAGTTCAGTTCTAGTTCAGTTTTGTTCTAGTTCAGTTCTAGTTCAGTTCTAGTTCAGTTCTAGTTCAGTTCTAGTTCAGTTCTAGTTCAGTTCTAGTTCAGTTCTAGTTCAGTTCTAGTTCAGTTCTAGTTCAGTTCTAGTTCAGTTCTAGTTCAGTTCTAGTTCAGTTCTAGTTCAGTTCTAGTTCAGTTCTAGTTCAGTTCGTTCTAGTTCAGTTCTAGTTCAGTTCTAGTTCAGTTCTAGTTCAGTTCTAGTTCAGTTCTAGTTCAGTTCTAGTTCAGTTCTAGTTCAGTTCTAGTTCAGTTCTAGTTCAGTTCTAGTTCAGTTCTAGTTCAGTTCTAGTTCAGTTCTAGTTCAGTTCTAGTTCAGTTCTAGTTCAGTTCTAGTTCAGTTCTAGTTTCCAGTTCTAGTTCAGTTCTAGTTCAGTTCTAGTTCAGTTCTAGTTCAGTTCTAGTTCAGTTCTAGTTCAGTTCTAGTTCAGTTCTAGTTCAGTTCTAGTTCAGTCTAGTTCAGTTCTAGTTCAGTTCTAGTTCAGTTCTAGTTCAGTTCTAGTTCAGTTCTAGTTCAGTTCTAGTTCAGTTCTAGTTCAGTTCTAGTTCAGTTCTAGTTCAGTTCTAGTTCAGTTCTAGTTCAGTTCTAGTTCAGTTCTAGTTCAGTTCTAGTTCAGTTCTAGTTCAGTTCTAGTTCAGTTCTAGTTCAGTTCTAGTTCAGTTCTAGTTCAGTTCTAGTTCAGTTCTAGTTCAGTTCTAGTTCAGTTCTAGTTCAGTTCTAGTTCAGTTCTTGTTCAGTTCTAGTTCAGTTCTAGTTCGGTTAAAACTCTTATATAGCAATTTTTAATTTTCCAATGCTCATATATACATAAGTTTGAAAAATTTTATTCTTTTCTATAAAAATTTAAGGAACACCAAACTTCCTTTATAGTGTGACTTGAAATTTTTTGTGAGCTTTAGTTTTTCCTCTAAATAATTAAGTCTTTTGAATTTCTATATGCTTTATGTACAAATTCGCACCTTTTTCTTTTCGATTTTAAGCACACATGGAAAACCGACAATAATTCAAAAGTTTTTTTTACGTATTTAGTTCCAACATTATTCATTCTTTTGTTAAATTTTCACAACAACTATTCAAGGTATTTGCTAGTAAGTATTTTCTTTCAGTATATTTGTCACAAAAAGGTATTAAAAATCATAATCCTATAAATATGCAAGCGCATACCAAAAAAAATAAAAACGGAATTCCTTTGAACAGTTTCATTTTAAAAGACTGACAACAAAGGTAGAGATTTTTAAAGTATTTATGCTATTAGAAAGAACTATGGCAATTGATATGTGTAAATTAAGCAGAAATTTGCTTTAAACGATTTTCTAAACTGAGCCGGGGAAGTCTTACAATTAAGGTATTTGTTATACATGTTACTTTTAACACTAAAAAGAGAAAATGTTGAACATTTTTCTAGATTTTTATTGTTTGGCACAAAAGAAAACCTTTTCTTTTTTATATGTTATTATTAACCTTCTTATAGATTTCCACTTAATAAGTTTTTATTGTCATTGTATTGTGTTTTTCATAAATATTTTGTTTGTTTATTTAAATGCCACAACCATTCTGCTCTATTAAATTTTATGTTTAACAATATAAAACAGAATACGATTTCGTTTTACGGCATATTTTTTCAGAAAAACAAAATTCAAATAAATAAACAATTGCAAAAAAACAAAAAACACTGTGTAAAATATTATTGTATTATTTAATGTATAATTTCCTTTTTGTGTTTATATGTGAATTTCCTTTTTTTATTTCCTGTTATAAATTATGACTTTTCTCCCTCTCTCGTTTAGACTCCTTTGCTAATGTACAAGGCTCCCTATAGTAGACCTCAAAATGTTTCATTATGCTGCTATTAGAAGCAAAATAGAAACGGAATTTGTAGATTATTATATTAAGACAGAGATGCCAGATTTTTTAAAATACAATTAACAGGCAAAAGACAAGATTTTTATTGCCAACATTTGTAGGAAAAAATCTCATCTTTCTAGTTCAGGTTTTAGTTTAGAATGATTTCAAATAAAATTCTAATACATAAAGTAGTTGATAGAATATTACAGGCATTTTCTATGAAAAAATCCCTACTAATTGGCAACTCTTCCATACATCAGAACTAAATACCCATTAATTTTGATATTGTTTTTTAATGCGTAAACAGGAAACAAAAACATGATTTGTATTTTGTGAATTACAACAAGAAAAAATATTAGAAAAAAATACACAAAAATCACAGCAATATTCAGAATAAAATCTAATTTATATGAATGAGCCTGCTTATAACAGGCACCCACAATTACCGGCTCTATGTGTGTTTGGCAATAGAACGTACACACACACACACACACGTAAATGAAATGAAAATTTTTATTTTCCTAGTAATTAAGTAGGATTTTTTTTCCATTTCCATATACAAAACATTTAAACATTTTGTTTTATTTTTCCTATTTTCACTCTTTCCACACTGTTAGCAAGGAGTAAGTTGGTAAAAAACGGAAAAAAATTTTGAAATGATTTATAATGGTATAAATCACTTCTATGAAATTCTATGAGAAAGTGTGTAAATGGGAAGTATAGCCACTGTTCATCTAACATTATAATACTAGACTCTGAACATTTACATCTACGGTCAATACCGATCTTTTTAAACCTTATCAAATGTCTTTATCATACTAATATCATCTCATAAACAGACATATGTAAATACTAACAAAACCTCATTTGTTACTTGGCTAACTTTCCCCAGTTTTTTTTTTTTTGCTAATAATAAACACCATTCATAATTTTACTTTTCCGTGATTGTTTCCACACCACACATTGTACAACAACTCCATTCTGTTCTTCATTAATGTTACAACTTGATAGAAAGCCACTGATTTCATGTTAATGAATCATTAGTATTTCTAATACTTTTTCTTAATGATGTTGTTAATTTTCAACGAAGCACTTAACGCTCACACATAAATACAAACCCACACTTCCTCATAAGATTTCTACATTTTAGAGAAAAAAAAACCCCCCAAAAAAAACTAAAGCGGAAGTTTAGCTAATTTGTTTGTAATTAAGTTGTGTTGAAGTTTCAGAGGCCCAAAATCAATGATTACTGCCAATGAAACCACAATTACTGGTATATACTACATATTTCTAAACGACTTACCTTGATAAATTGAAATGTTGCTATTGGCGGTAAACGTTTACTTTTCGGATAAAAGAAACTACCAGCTGGATGAGCTGGATAACGTGATGTTATACGATAGATAACACCTTGCGGTGAGGTGGGCCAGTTTGGTGCTGTAAATGTAAAACCATTATCCGTACCAGCATCTAAAGGATCCATTTCCACGGTAACAGTGTCTATCCAAGAGCCACCCACACAAAGCTGAAAATAATTTTAAAATATTTGAATCTTTAAAAATTTGTTTTAAAAAAATATCTATTGAAATTTCCTGTTGCCAATGAAACAAAAATTTAAATTCATATAGCAACTGATTTTTTCAGCAATACCCAGGAATTTGGGTAGTAGATCACTAAACTAAACAAATACTAGAACTGAACAAGAACTGAACAAGAAACTGAACTAGAACGGAACTAGAACTGAACTAGAACTGAACTAGAACTGAACTAGAACTGAACTAGAACTGAACTAGAACTGAACTAGAACTGAACTAGAACTGAACTAGGAACTGAACAAGAACTGAACTGAACTAGACTAGAACTGACTAACTGAACTAGAACTGACTAGAACTGAACTAGAACTGAACTAGAACTGAACTAGAAACTGAACTAGAATTGCTGACTAGAACTTGAACTAGAACTTGAACTAGAAACTGAACTAGAACTGAACTAGAACTGACTAGAACTGAACTAGAACTGAACTAGAACTGAACTATGAAACTAGAACTAGAACTAGAACTGAACTAGAACTGAACTAGAACTGAACTAGAACTGAACTAGAACTGAACTAGAACTGAACTAGAACTGAATTAGAACTGAACTAGAACTGAACTAGAACTGAACTAGAACTGAATTAGAACTGAACTAGAACTGAACTAGAACTGAACTAGAACTGAACTAGAACTGAAACTAGAACTGAACAAGAACTGAACTAGAACTGAACTAGAACTGAACTAGAACTGAACTAGAACTGAACTAGAACTGAACTAGAACTGAACTAGAACTGAACTACAACTGAACTAGAACTGAACTAGAACTGAACTAGAACTGAACTAGAACTGAACTAGAACTGAACTACAACTGAACTAGAACTGAACTAGAACTGAACTAGAACTGAACTAGAACTGAACTAGAACTGAACTAGAACTGAACTAGAACTGAACTAGAACTGAACTAGAACTGAACTAGAACTGAACTAGAACTGAACTAGAACTGAACTAGAACTGAACTAGAACTGAAACTGAACTAGAACTGAACTAGAATGAACTGAACTTGAACTAGAAATGAACTAGACTGAACTAGAACTGAACTAGAACTGAACTAGAACTGAATAGAAACTGCACTAAGAGAACTGAAACTATGAACGAACTTAGAACTGAACAGAACTGAAACCTAGAAATGAACTAGACGAATAGACCGAAACTAGAAATGAACTAGAACTGAACTAGAACTGAACTAGAAATGAACTAGAACTGAACTAGAACTGAACTAGAATGAAACTAGAACTGAAACTAGAACTGAACTAGAACTGAATAGAACTGAACTCGAACTGAAATAGAACTGAATTAAGAACTGAATTTAGAACTGGAATTAGAACTGAACTAGAACTGAACTGAACTGTACTAGAAACGAACAAGACTGAACAGAACTGAACTAGCAACTGATCTAGAACTCACTAGAAGAAGGTAAAGTTATGTATGTAAAATTCAATTGTAGAAGAGTAGAATGAGTTCACAAAATTGTTCGGGATGTTGTGATTAGCATTTTAACACAATTTTTATATTTTTTCATTTTTCCACTACTCTATCTTATCCACCTTCATTTTTGTATAGCTGTCAATACTTTATATAGTTTTACGTTTCAGTCTCTGTTTTTATTCCTTTATTCCGATGATGCATTCTGTCAGTGATGTTGGGTTTAGTGGTTTTCACTAACATTTGTTTGGTGACAATGATGAGCATCATGATGTTCATAATGACAACCATGTCACTGTCATTGTAATTTCTATTGCCTAGCCTTGTCATTGTAGTTGCTGCCTCCGTATAGAGAATATTTTGATGACAATGCATCTTGATTTTCTACCACAGACATCAATGGAAAACTAAAAATCAATTTTTTTCTTTTACTTAATGGGGTTGATGAAGTTGCAGTCATTTAGACTTGGGAATGTAGCTAGGGGTTTTGAAAGCCTTTCGTATTTATTTGTAGAAAGTTAATATTTCCTGAAATATTTTCTTGGAAACAATTTTTAAAGAATTATTTTTAAACTTTTATTTCTAAACTATATAAGCCAATTTTTAAGTAAAACGAAAATATTTCAAAGGCCCCCGTTTTAATGAGCCAACTCTCACATAACCCTCATTATATACTGTAGTAGCATATTTTGCTACTGATTATGTGGGAACATCAAAATATAATTTTTTGTTTCCTTTGAACACATTTTAATTTTGTTCCCAGGAAATTAAGCCAAGAAATGTGTGGTTTAGTTTTCTGTTAAGTATACAAAATGATAAATCTGCAAAATTTTATACCAAATTGCTTAAAAAGAAATTAATCAACTCCTGCAAACATTAACGAGTTTCTTTTGTATTTTGGCCCAAAAACTCAGAGAAAATAAAAAAATAAAACATTTTGCAAAATTCATACCTGAAATGAATCGACCCCTATAAACCAATCGGGTGAGGGCACAATGCGTGTCATTAATGACACTAAACTATGATTGCTATCGACGAAAAACTTTGCCTCTGATCGACCAGCACCCGTTGTTATGGCTGGCAAATTGAATTCATCAAAGACACTGCGTTCACCCAGGTTCTTATTGCTGTTGGTGTTTTTGTTGTTACTTGCATTGCTGCGTGCTGTGTTTTGATTGTTTGTTGTGATTTGTTGCTGCTGTTGTTGTTTTGATGTTGATTTTAGTTGTTGCTGCTGCTGTTCACCTTGTAATGTATCCAGTATATCACTTTTACCCGTTTCAGCAAATTGTTTAACACCGGATGTTGCCTGCTGGCCAATGTGATACAGGCCAAATGTTGAGTCATGTGTACGACCTACAGCGAAAAAACATGAAATCAAACAAAATTTAATACAAATTGAAAATATGAAAGTTACTTTAAATGGAAATAAATTTAAGTGTATTTTAATAAAAATTTGTTATTCAAGAACTAGAACTAAACTGGATGTAAAATCGAACTGAACTAGAAGTGAACTAAAACTAGTAATAGAACTCAACTAGAATTTAACTATAACTCAAACAGAACTGAACTAGAACTTAATTAGAACTGATCTAGATCTGAACTAGAACTGAACTAGAACTGAACTAGAACTAGAACTGAACTAGAACTGAACTAGAACTGAACTAGAACTGAACTAGAACTGAACTAGAACTGAACTAGAACTGAACTAGAACTGAACTAGAACTGAACTAGAACTGAACTAGAACTGAACTAGAACTGAACTAGAACTGAACTAGAACTGAACTAGAACTGAACTAGAACTGAACTAGAACTGAACTAGAACTGAACTAGAACTGAACTAGAACTGAACTAGAACTGAACTAGAACTGAACTAGAACTGAACTAGAACTGAACTAGAACTGAACTAGAACTGAACTAGAACTGAACTAGAACTGAACTAGAACTGAACTAGAACTGAACTAGAACTGAACTAGAACTGAACTAGAACTGAACTAGAACTGAACTAGAACTGAACTAGAACTGAACTAGAACTGAACTAGAACTGAACTAGAACTGAACTAGAACTGAACTAGAACTGAACTAGAACTGAACTAGAACTGAACTAGAACTGAACTAGAACTGAACTAGAACTGAACTAGAACTGAACTAGAACTGAACTGAACTGAACTGAACTAGAACTGAACTAGAACTGAACTAGAACTGAACTAGAACTGAACTAGAACTGAACTAGAACTGAACTAGAACTGAACTAGAACTGAACTAGAACTGAACTAGAACTGAACTAGAACTGAACTAGAACTGAACTAGAACTGAACTAGAACTGAACTAGAACTGAACTAGAACTGAACTAGAACTGAACTAGAACTGAACTAGAACTGAACTAGAACTGAACTAGAACTGAACTAGAACTGAACTAGAACTGAACTAGAACTGAACTAGAACTGAACTAGAACTGAACTAGAACTGAACTAGAACTGAACTAGAACTGAACTAGAACTGAACTAGAACTGAACTAGAACTGAACTAGAACTGAACTAGAACTGAACTAGAACTGAACTAGAACTGAACTAGAACTGAACTAGAACTGAACTAGAACTGAACTAGAACTGAACTAGAACTGAACTAGAACTGAACTAGAACTGAACTAGAACTGAACTAGAACTGAACTAGAACTGAACTAGAACTGAACTAGAACTGAGCTAGAACTGAGCTAGAACTGAACTAGAACTGAACTAGAACTGAACTAGAACTGAACTAGAACTAAGCTAGAACTGAACTAGAACTGAACTAGAACTGAACTAGAACTGAACTAGAACTGAACTAGAACTGAACTAGAACTGAACTAGAATATGCATTCGCATATTGTCGCGGACTGTATTGTCGCTTAAATTTTAATATTATCATAAAAACTAAAAACAACAAAAATGACATATATGGCATATTATGACCAGCAGATAACAAAAGATATGATTACCAGCAACAAAAACATTATCAATTTTAAAATAAAAAGAACATAAACAGTAGAGGACAAATGATTAGGAACACGAGCTACGATAGCTTAAATTATTATCTATTGTAGTGGTAAACCACCTATAAACTTACAGTTAAAATTATTCAATAGAATAGTATTATTAATTACACAAACAAGATAAACACATTTGTACTGAATTGACCGCCACTGTGCACAAATGCGTTTCTGTCATTATCAGTTTTTATGTCCGATTTTTTGTTTGTTTAAACACACCTACTGATAACTGTGTGTCAGCAACAGCTGCAATATTTTTTATTTTATTATATGTTTTTAATGCATTTAATAAATGCAGAAATAAAAAAGAGCAAATAAAAAACTTAACGAATGTTTTAAATATTAAAAACATAATTTAAATGAAAAAGATTAAGTGGAATTAAACAACAGAAATATATATTTAATTACTTTAAATTAAACACAACATATGAAATAAAAATAGCAATTTATCACAGTGACAAATGGACTTAAACATTGGACTAAGCAAGTAGAAATTTTTTAAATTTTCCTCTTTTAAATGTATTCAAAATGTAATAAAATCTTATAAATTAAGAAAAACAACTAATATATGTATGTGTATGTTTATTCAGTAAAATCTCCTATAGTTCGGGTTCCATTAAATAATTTTAAATCAGAATTTTCTCAAATTTATCACTTTTATATTTCTATCATCTGTTGCCGCATTGTTGTCCGTCACAATACATACTATAAAAAATTTGTCAAGAATATAAATAACACACTATTAACTAAATATTAAATATACTTAATAAATTTTCGCAAATTTTAAAAATCATTTTTTTCTCAAAATCTCCATTTACTGAAAAATTTATTGTTCTTTTCCTTAATCCCCCAAAAATGTAAATGGCAAACATGTGCAATTTTAAAGAGGCCTTCAAAATAAATAATTTAAATTTGATTTCCTCAACATATCAACAGCAGAAACATAATTAATATTAAAGCAATGATGGCGATTAAAATGGCGTCACTTGAAATCTTGTATTTGCGGTTAAAAATTTAATTAAAATTTTCCATACCCCTTTAAGTGTTTTACTAAATATACAGACCAGAGATGGAGTGGTGGGTTTTTTGAAACTAAAAATACTTTTCTAGAACTAGAATTGAACTAGAACTGAAGTAGGACGGAACTAGAACTGTACTTGAACTGAAGTAGGACTGAAGTAGAACTGAAATAGAACTGAAGTAGAACTGAACTAGAACTGAACTAGAACTGAACTAGAACTGAACTAGAACTGAACTAGAAATGAACTAGAACTGAACTAGAACTGAACTAGAACTTAACTAGAACTGAACTAGAACTGAACTAGAACTGAACTAGAACTGAACTAGAACTGAACTAGAACTGAACTAGAACTGAACTAGAACTGCACTAGAACTGAACTAGAACTGAACTAGAACTGAACTAGAACTGAACTAGAACTGAACTAGAACTGAACTAGAACTGAACTAGAACTGAACTAGAACTGAACTAGAACTGATCTAGAACTGAACTAGAACTGAACTAGAACTGAACTAGAACTGAACTAGAACTGAACTAGAACTGAACTAGAACTGAACTAGAACTGAACTAGAACTGAACTAGAACTGAACTAACTGAACTAGAACTGAACTAGAACTGAACTAGAACTGAACTAGAACTGAACTAGAACTGAACTAGAACTGAACTAGAACTGAACTAGAACTGAACTAGAACTGAACTAGAACTGAACTAGAACTGAACTAGAACTGAACTAGAAAAGATCTAGAGTATTTTTAAAGAAACGATTTTAAACGCATAAATTTTCCATCTCTGAAACTCAGTAGGCCCAAATTTGCTTAAATATTGCGTGGATGTGTGTGTATGTGTACCTCAGGTCGTGTGTTTGTCATAATTTATTTAAAATCTTTGTGCTCCAAATATGAAATTGATAATTGCGGCATCTTTGTGTATCTTACATTCATAAAGTAAATGACGATGCCGATGATGATGCTGCCGATGAAATCTCATGTAGTCAATTGCACAAACACAGGCAACAGTTAGTGGTTGATGTCTGCTGCATTAATGCATAATGCGTGTGCATATGTTTTTTCTGCATAAATTATAATGATTTTATTAATGCAGTTTTATTATTGCTATTGCAGCAGTTGTTGCAGCGTATTTTTTATTATTCAAAGAATAAATATCTTTTTCACATTGACATGTCTTTTAATTTTTCTTCTTCTTGTGATTTTTAATTTTTTACGCTGAGTGTCATTTATTTTTGGCATTTTGCCCACATTGTTGATGATTAATTTTTTTCGAACCACAACGCGATTCATTCAAAAAAAAAGTGACAAGAAATATTTGAAATTTTAAACATTTTTATGCTACATTTGTTGTTTGCAAATAAATTACTTTTAGAATGCTGCTATCGGTGGAGGGGTTGTGTGTACGAATGGCTGAATGTGTGCTTGGTTGACTGTCTTTGTGTAGGGGGAGATTTTATTAGATTGTTACGAGAAATTCGCGTGTTTGTGGTATTTAAAAGGTGATATTTTTTCTTTAATTTTGCAAATTGTAGATTTGAAAAACACATGAGTTTAATGATTCATGTTAAAGTTATTAAAATGACTTTTTTAATTAGATAAACATGTGGTTTGTGTAAATTACATTAAAAAAATCGACATAATTCGTATTACAAATATTTCTTTTGATTTGGCAATTTGAATTTATTTTTAGTATTTTTAGTTATAACTAGAAATCTATTTGTCACTCTTAAATGCAACAGAACAAAGCACTCATATTAATTCCAGAGAAATATATATTTTTATTATTTTAAAGTTCCTGTGAAATGCCAAAAAGACAACAGCAGCAGCTGAGTTTCCACTTAAGGAAACAAATATAACAAATGCATTTCAATTCTATCGAGAGACTCACTTAGATGAATGTAAAGCTAGAAAAAATATCAGAAACTAAAAAATAATAAACAAAATATGACAAAATGTTAAAAAAAAAATACTCTTGGAGTGAAAAGTGAAAAAAACAGAAATGAATTGAATATAAATAAGAACTATGTCAACTGTCATAATATTGACATATTTTTTATATGCATGTTATTTGTGGTATTAAAAAGAGAACGAATCTGAACTATTGTGTATGTACGTATGCAGGGATGGTAAATTTTTTAAATTCTGAGAATTATCTTTAATATTAAAGTTGTCTTTGTAGAGAAATATTTTTATGAAAAACTGTTTTACGGAAATTGTTCTAAAGAAAATGGTTTTACAGTTCTCTTGCTAAAGCAAAACTTTTATACAGAATATTTAAAACAAAACTGTTATACAAAAAAAA